ATTTTTTGTTCTTGGTATATTAGGAGTATGAATGGATTCATTGTGTTCAGTTGGACCATGGAAACTCATTCAGCTCATAATAGTATCGAAAATAAATCGATTTCAATTTTTCATGAAAAAAATTTCAAGTCATTTTTGTACGGGAGCAAATAAATCGAATTTCAAAACGCAATTTTTGTTTATTTCGCATGTTTCATCGTTTCAAATGATTGGAATATGCTCAATAAAACGCTATGAACTCGATTTAAATATAAAACAGTGGCTGTATGGACGATTTTGAATTTATGTTAACATACAATTTGGTATTTTCCGTTCTGAAACACAGAAGATTGAAAAATTGTCTTATAAGAATTCTAAACCATCCATAAAGACGCTGTTTTATATTTAAAATGAGTTCATAGCGTTTCATTGAGCATATTTCAATCATTTGAAACGATGAAACATGCGAAATAAAAAAAATTGCGTTTTGAAATTCGATTTATTTGCTCTCGCACAAAAATGACTTGAAAATTGTTTCATGAAAAATTTAAATCGATTTATTTTCGATACTTTTATGAGCTGAATGAGTTTCTATGGTCCAACTGAACATAATGAATCCATTCGTACGACTAAAATATCAAAAACAAAAAATTTCGTTAGTCAAATGTCGATGTCGAAAATTCTTCAGATAAGCAAAAAATCGATTTAATTTTCGTTCACCAAAATTTTGAAATACACCTGTTTTTCATAGTTTAATGAATTCAGTGAGTTTCTAAGGGCCAAAAAAACCTATTGAATCCGCTTCTGTGCTTAAAATATTCGAAACAAAAAATGTTGTCATTTCAAAGTTGCAATCTTGATATCTTTTTTCACATGCGTTGTGCGTATCTTTTTCATGTTTGTTTACTCTGAATTGGATATGAGCAGATTGAGCAGAAACAAAAAAAATTCTGCTCTTTCTGCTTTTTCTGCTTTTTCGATATTTTTCATTTGGCATTCTGCTATTTGTGAATAGTTTTCCGAAATTTTGGGCTGTGGTCGAAGAAGCGATGGACGTAAATGAGGAGGACCTTATCCAAGTTAAGTCAATTTTTTCCGTGCTTGGATACATGACGGAGGCATCAATTGCTTCCCTGAAAACACCGAAAAAGGTGATGAACTTGGAAGGTGAATACGTTAAAGTGCGATCGAATGTAACGGTTTTCAAAGCAATGTGCGAAAAATTTCCTGCGATCGAATGCGTAGAATCATTCTCGTCAGGAACGGTTGCGACTATGTGCGACGTTGTGGCCCATTTGAATCCCAAGAAAATTCAAGCACTTTCAACCGATTTGAATGATGAAAGCCGAAAATTAATGTTCGAAGCCACTCAAAAATCAATTGCCGAACAGGCCAATAAGGTTGGTTGTTGATTGGTTGGATAATTTAGTCTTTGTATTCAACATTTTTTCCTCGTTATGTTACATGACTTTTTAATTAAACGACGATTAAATTTTCTACAAAGGTGTGCGATAAAATAACAGAGGAAGCTGTTATCTTCGAAAATTCGGGTAAAATCTGTAAAATAGAATGCTCGGATTGCGGCCGCCAAGTCAAATTATCATCATCAATTAACAAAGAAACAGGAAAAAATTCTTTTTCTGTTTTCAATTTTTCGCGCCATTATTCATCGGCACATTCCAATCGTGGAACTGAAGCTACTGGCTCCTCCGACGATGGTGAATCATCGAAGCAAAGTAAGACCAATATAAAAGTTATCTTGTTTATCGCGTTGTCTTGAATCTGAAATCTCTTTACAGCCCAAATTGAACATATTCAACGCGAATTGAAGAACGTAAAGAGTGACAACGATAACAAGAAAAATGAATTGGTCGATTTGAATACACAGCTAATGGCTTCAAAGCAAAGTGATCAGACCAAGCAAAGTGAGACCAATACAAAATTAGCTCGTTTACCGCGTTGTCTTAAATGAAATCTCTTTACAGCTGAAATCGAACGGCTTCAAGCCGAATTGCAAAAGGTAAAGGGAGACAACGAGGCCAAGGCAAAAGAAATTGTCGATCTGAATAACAAGCTATCGCAGCAAAGTCATATCATTGCACGAAAAGATGAAGTGATCGCAGAAGCACACGAATTGGCCACCAAACTAAAAGCAGATCTCGCTGTTTCGAAAGCCGAGTTGACTGGTTTTCGCTCAAGACTCGTTGAATTGAAAGCCAACCAGTCTGTCAATTCAAAATCAACGAAAGTTCAACAAGCCAAATTCCAAATCAACCTTTGTTGCTTTGAAGATATAAAAGCGCCGGGCATCACTATCAATGCTAACGAGGTAGCATTCAAAGGTAAGGCTCGTTCTGGAAAATATATATGTGTTTTTGTATCAACAAATGTCAATCGTTTCATGTGTTAAAAAATGTTTTTAATTGAATTCTGCGACTCTCACAGATTGTACTGGCAGAGATGTGAGTTTGCATTTCAACCACATCTACCATGGATCTGCCATCGATGATAAATTGAATGGCATACGGTCAGCTTTGGATGCATTCATTGCTGGTGGAACCGCGAGCGTAATCAATTACGGAACCACGGGAAGTGGAAAAACCACCACAATGTTTGGACTTGATGGCAATTACGGTCTTCTCGGTCAAGCGGGTGACTATATATTAAAATCTCAACAATTCAAAATGTCAGCGTATGAAATTCTCGATGACGGCTGTTATGATTTGATGAGCAACAGAAAGTTGGATGAAAAACAATCACCATTGACGGAAAAGTTGATTAAGACCATTGATGAATTCAAAGAACTAGTAAAAAAAATCAACGATTCCCGAACCCAAAAGTCAACGAGCCAAAACATCAAATCGTCGCGTTCGCATTTGTTTGTGATTTTGACAATCGAAAACGAAACATCAAAAATGGCATTTGTCGACTTGGCAGGTTTTGAGAGCTTAGAGAATGAAGAAAGCAAACATATCAACACATCGTTGAGTGAATTGAATCTTCTACTCATCAATGCAACCAAGAACCAGCCCTTTTCCCCCAACAAATCAAACAAAATGGCAATCAATTTAAAGCCATTTTTGATGCCACCCAGTCAGACTATTTTCCTATGCCATATGAACAATGATGCAGCAAAAAAAGGTTTGGGATACTTCAAAGAATTTGTGTCGTCGACCAGAGACTCGAAGCGACCATCCAGAGCTCCACTTGCTGAGATTTCCAACTCAAAGTTAGCCCGCTGAACATTATTTCTTTTCATTTTTTATCGTTTTTGAATCTGTTCAATTCAATTTTTTCCCATTTCTTCTTTCAATACTTTTACTTAAGTTTGTGCGCTCTGTGCTGATTTTTTTTTTGCTGTTTTTCTACATCTTGTTTCTCTTTATAAAGAATTAAAATTTAGAATATAATTCTTCGTTATTTTTTGGTTAACCACGTTCAACTTAACTTTCGTTATTTTTAAAACGTTTATAATTTGTAGGAAAAAGATTTTTTTTTTGAATAAAATTCACTTTTTTTAAAATATTATTGAAACCCAAGTGTAGATAGTGTAACCTATACGCGATGACCTATTTTCTCCATTATTCTAAACGGAATACAGATTGATTTTTGAGTTGCTTCAACTCAATTTTCAACCAAAATCAATCTAATTTCGGTTTTACATTGGTTTGTATTCAGTTTGATATTGGTTAGAATAATGGAAAAAAATAAGTCATAGCGTATAGGTTACACTAGAGTTATTTTTTGGTGATTTTCCAAAACAAAGGTCATCCGCGGTAAGAATAAATTCTGGTTGAAATTTCCGTTCATTTTACTGCCCAAAAACCACACGTTCATATACGGTTCGAAAAAATGGAACACCCTAATGAGCACACACACTCATGTAATAGAAGACATCGAACTGAAGCCGAAACACAAACACAGCAACCGAGCTGAAGCAAAAAAGCCAAAAACTTTGATTGAATTTGTAAAATCTGCATAGATACAAACGATGCTCTGAAATTAAGTAAAAGACGAACATTTCGTCACACTTCAAACCAGATGGACGGCTCGGGTCGATGCATATGAATTTTACATCGTATATCGGCGTCGACGAAACAAAAAAAAGAGAGGGAGAGAAAGAGAGACCACTCAATGACGATGATTCATTCGATATTGTGGCAAAGCCTCGTGTTGCGTCGATGCAGAACCATCGGGACTATTAGCAACCCCGGTGGCCTGTGGTGGTGACGTTGGCGAATCTAAATTGACCAAACTTGACACAGCCGAACCGCTCATTGAATCAGTATATCCGCATGGCTATGCCATATTTCTTCAAAATTTCCGCATTCACCGGTGACTCTTCGCTGAATGGCAACGAAGCGGACACATTCAGCGGCTTATTTTCATTGATCACATCGAATTTATCGTGTCGATGCTGTCGATGCTTGCTCAATGACCAATGAATCGTATGAATCAAATAGTTCTTTCGAACTATTGCTACAAAATAAACCAGTTTGCATTGGTTTGCATTTGCCTTTTGTCATCAAATTGCATGGTTTACATAAGTCACTATTAAATAAAAAGGGGGATTTAAAGAAAAAAAAACTTACATTTGGAATTGATTCATTTTATTATCGTACTGTGGCGTTCCGCAGAGTGTGTGGGTGCGTTGTCCTATTTTCAAAAATTTGCTCAATCCCGGTAGATAACGCCGGTGTAGTTCCGTCGAACAGTTGAACGTCACCAATATATTCAGGTACTGGAAAAAAAGATTGAGACATACGCTATAATGCAAGAGGAAACGAATTCATATGACTCGTCCACAGACAAAGAACTGCTCAATTTTTGTTTATTTGTATTCTGTCTAATTAAATTGATTGATTTCAACCAAAAAATCTTTGCATCAAATAATCAATTGGTCTTGTCTACTCAGTTTGAGTTAATGGGCAAAACTTACAGTAACGATTTCGATGTACTTTTGTGAATGGTGAGCCTGTGGCGAGTGCCTTTTGTCATCGATAGGTAGAAAATTCCTTCTGGAGTAATGCCAAAGCAACTATCCACGTCAATCCGAGTATCCACTGAACCGCAAAATTGAGCTGCTTAAAGGAAGAGAATTTGATATACGAAATAAATGACACAATGAACACAATGAACAATTACAAGAGATTGATTATTTATGATCCAAATTAATACGTATTTATACGAAGTGCGGAGCTCTAGGAATGTAACCAATGATGTAATATGATTAACCACAATGGTTTGAATGTTGATATTATCGACACGATTTGTGGATAGCGATACATAGTGCATGTACTTCAATCGAACTGTCTTCATAGAATTATTTTATAAAATATTATTATTTCGTTCAAGGATCCAATATTTTCTGTCCCACTTTTACTCACACTATTTTTTTCTTCAATTATTCAAACACATTATTTATAAAAGATCGTTTGTATCAACATGGGAAAAGCACTAAGCGATTTCAAACACACACTTTTTGATGAACAAAAGCACTTGTTGAGTGTGCAATGTGAGATAAAAAATGCTGAGCAAATATCGGTGAACAATTTGATACATACTGTCATTGTTGTGGCATTGTCAGTGAACGGGAAAATACGCTGGGTGGCGCCACTGATATAATTTGCTTCAATCATCAACAAATTACATTCAGTATTTCTCCGAGCTGTCACGAATTGAACAAATAAGTACCCCTAAAGTAAATTCATATCATCACTGTGCACTCCAGCATCACATACACTAAATTCCTCTGGTGCATACGTATAGCTGTTGTTTTTTCATTCCATCTGAACAAACAAAAAGTTGGTGTGTTGGGCTAAAGCCGTTTTCGAAAATGATTATTCGTTTATTGTGCGACATTTCGCTCTTATTAGGACCCTCATCAGGCTGGAGAACAAAAATGTACACAAAAAACAATGAGTAAGTGTTGAAACAATTGGCAACAGCCGAAAATAACCAAATTACGAACCAGTTACATCTGAATTTAAAATGTTTTCGAACGTATTCCATTTTTTTCTATCGATTTCCACAAATTGTATCAGCTACACGTATCCATCAGAGGAATTTTGTTATTGAGCTTCATTTAGTGTCTGAATATGGTTACACTATGCAACAACAAGAAACAACCACAGAGAAGAGAACTTATTTACAACGTTTTTTGGGCCCACTTGATCCAAATCTGGCGTTAGTTTGTCCTGGCACGTCTAGTTTCTAAGATACGTTCATTGCGGTTTCCGTATCAGTTTTGGATTAAGTCGACCAAAAAACCTTGGAAATGAGTCTACTCTTTTTGGGAGAATTTCGTTTTCGAAATTTGCTGCATAGTGTTAGTAGACCTGAACTCATAAATTCCATAACTGAAAAATACCACAATTCATCAATTGTTGATTGCATGGCACGTGTCATCTATTAGTAGATGAATGGTATAAAATAGGCAGCACCGCACGGGGAAGACCAAACGAATTCAAAGGATCTTCTAAAGAAGTACAAGACGGTTCTCCACTATCATTGTGCAACAGGTTAAAACTCTGTTTGGTTGGCAAATTAAAATGAATCTACTACACGGTTTGTTTTCGGTGCTATTTATCGTTGAATTTTCTGTAAGTTTTTTTCTATTCCTTTATTATTTTCACTTTTATCCAATAAAATACGATATTTCTGTAGAAATGAAAATTAAAACGAAATTTCTTTTTCTAGGAACATCAAGGAAAACGTAAGACACTTTTGGTTTTCGAACTAGCTTTTTATGATTCCAAAAGTTTTTTTCAGACTTTTATAATATTCAATTCGAAATTTCAACTTCTTTTCTACTGAACAGATGGCTTTTTCTCGCAAGCTCTTCTTAAGGGCGAAGTGATTGAAAACATGTCACAGGCAAAGTTTGTAGCTGGAATCCATGCCCCCGCAAGTAAGTCTGCTTTAGAATCATTTTCATTTTTTTGTGTGTGAATTTTCGTCCGAAAAATTCAAATATTCTATCATTTTTGCTAGGGGCTGACCACGCTTCAGAAAATTTTCAAACAATTTATTATTTACAACTGTGACATTTTTCGAACTTTCTCCAGAAACGATTCACTGTAATGATAACTTTCAATTGTGCGTTGTCAGCTTACTGTCAAAAAATTCATCACATTGTGGTGGTCAAAAGTAGTGTTGGCTTCGAACGTTCGTTCGACCGTTCGACAACATAAAAAAAATTGTTTTGTTCGTTCGTTCGTTCGAAAGTTTTGTAAAAACTTATTTTGTTCGTTCGTTCGTTCGAAAAGTTGAAAATTATTTTTTTTGCTCGTTCGTTCGTTCGAAATTTATCTTAAAAAAATGTTGTTCGTTCGTTCGTTCGGAAATTGCTATGTTCGACCGTTGAGATTTTTTACATTTGAAATACATAGGAAGCAAATATTTCTCTGGCTAAGACTGAAGGTACAACGTTATTACCGGTGTTATTACTCAGTAATACCACTGGTAATAATTATTAACGATCTTATTACCGATTAATAAGTAATTACCGTTAAGTACTTAATTAAACTTTGTACTTAAGCTTGAGTATGTACTTAACGTACTTAACGTACGTACTTAACGTACTTAACGTACTTAACGTACTTAACGTACTTAACGTACTTAACGTACTTAACGTACTTAACGTACTTAACGTACTTAACGTACTCAACGTACTTAACGTACTTAACGTACTCAACGTGCTTAACGTACTTAACGTACTTAAAGTACTTAACGTACTTAAAGTACATACTCAAGCTTAAGTAGAAAGTTTAATTAAGTACTTAACGGTAATTACTTATTAATCGGTAATAAGATCGATACTAATTATTACCAGTGGTATTACTGAGTAATAACACCGGTAATAACGTTGTACCTTCAGTCTTAGCCAAAGAAATATTTGCTTCCTATGTATTTCAAATTTAAAAAATCCCAACGGTCGAACATAGCAATTTCCGAACGAACGAACGAACAACATTTTTTTTAAATAAATTTCGAACGAACGAACGAGCAAAAAAAATAATTTTCAACTTTTCGAACGAACGAACGAACAAAATAAGTTTTTACAAAACTTTCGAACGAACGAACGAACAAAACAATTTTTTTTTATGTTGTCGAACGGTCGAACAAGTGTTCGAAAGTGTTCGACGGCCAACACTAGTCAAAAGTATCGTTCATAGTGGATTATAGATTTAGTCAAATATTTGAGTTAACATACAAATGGTATTAAAACTGAATGATAGAAACGAATTTTGTAGATG